AACAATATGGTCTAGGACACTGATTCTCAACCTGTGGGTTGCAACCCCTCTGGGAGTTCTCCAGACCCTTTCCTAGGGGTCACCTAAGACCAACAGAAAACATAAAAATTTACATTGTGATTCATAACAGTAGCAAAATTACAGTTACGAAGTAGCAACAAAAATGATTTTATGGTTGGGGTCACCACAACATGAAGAACTGTATTAAAGGGTCACAGCATTAGGAAGGTTGAGCACCACAGGCTTAGGGTTTTGTGGGCAAGTTGAAAAAGTGACCCTCAGCTCTCTGAGGACTCACAAGGGAAGAAGTTCACATGTTGAGCAAATTCATCAAGTTTAGGTGAATGGGAATAATCTCAGGTAGGAGACTTGAACAGCATAGATTTTCTGTTAGTATTTGTCAAGAAGCAGAAAGCACGGTGAAACTGAAAATAAAGACTCTTTTTCAGGGAACAGTCCACCTGATCATAGAGAAGCCTGAACAGGCTCCAGGGTGACACAGTTATGAGTCATTGTCAAGAGTGGGTCACACAGAGCGGTGTTTTCTTAGTCATGACATTTGAAGCACTCAATGTAAACATTTTCAAAGTGTTTGCACAACAAACTGGCACTGCTGTGTTTTTCTTAAGTTCTCCCTAATATGATGAGGTCCATTGCAGAACAACTTGTTTGTGTGTGAACTAAAATAATTTTGGCATCATATTAGAGGAACATTTCCTTCTACATGGTCTATAAAAGGCAACCTATGGTTGGGAGAGAGGAAAGAGATTCTGAGACGGTCTCAGGTCATTTTGATAAAAAGGAAACATCTTCCTTCAGTGCTGCTGTTGCTGTGGGCCTGCAAACCCCCTTCCTGGGCATGCTTCATTTACAAACTGGCAGACTTTTGAAAGAGAAGCCTGACTGTGGTAGGCCCATTTTAGAACATTCTAGAACATGTACAACATGCACATGCAAGCCCAAATAAGAATAGGTAAGCAGAAACCCCAAGAATTGTTAGCAAATCCGGACATTTCACAGTTTTCATGCTCTCATTTTCTTGCTATGTAGCTGATATAACTAGTCAGTTTTAAATACCAGATCATATAGCTTACCATCTCGAGACACAGGAATTAGACATTTGTAAAGTGTATTTTCTGTAGGCCACCAACACTCTCACAGAATCCAAACACACTCGGCCTTTTAAAAATTATTATTATTATTTAAGCAATTACTACAACTTGAAACATTTCCTCAGCCCCCGTGAAATGGCCGGCTGGCAAGTTTGCGGAATGTTGGAGAAAGCCACCGTTTACTTTTGAGGCAAGCGAAGGGTGGTGATGTGATAATTGTGCTATGAGCACTTCGGGACATCTGAAGTCTACGTGGAAGAGCTGCTGTCCCTATCCATGTCTATTTATAGCCAACCTCTGCTCTTCTAATGCTGCTCTGAGGCTGAGATGAAATTAGCCTGGTTCCTGACTGGGATACTATTTTTGTCCATGTGTGCTTGTCCTGGGGATCGAACTCAGGACCTACGGCTTCATGCTTGAAAGGTAAGTGCTCAACCACTGGGCCATAATATATTGTCTTTTCCCGCCCCTTGCCATCTTCCACTCACTAATCTTTATCTGAAAAATGAGAGACTTTTTTTTTTTCTTGGCCTTTAGTGATGGACACTTTTCCTTCCTTTAAGCAACACCTTTTGAAAATGGTAATTAGAAACTGGCTGGGATACTTGGATACCTTAATTTATTGCTCAACATTCTATTTACTGTTTTTCCTGCTTTATGCTAAAAATATGTATCCTTCTCGATGGCCAGTTTTAAGAATTTGCTTTCTTTGTCTTTTAGAGAAGTTTAAATCCCTGGTCGGTGGAAAAATGTTGGAGGCTGGGAATGGTGACACACACCTGTAATCCCAACGCTGGAGGAGACAGATGCAGGAGGATCACTGTGAGTTTCAGGCAGGCCTGGTCTACAAAGCAAGTAAGGACTGCCAAGGCTACACAGAGAACCCTGTCACGAAAAAAGGAGCTGAATTGGAACAAAGTGAAAATGGCTCCAAGGAATTCCCATGCTGTTACTTTGTCACTACTCAGATCAATTGCTGGGGTTTCCCCTTGAGAATTAACCCTGGGCTCCTTTTTCCCTTCTGACTTAATGTGACCCTGGGAAAGCTGGCCCAAGCTTTATCCTGGGGGATGTCAATGCTACTAAAAGGAATTTACAGTCTCACGACTTTCAACATTCTCACAGCACATTTGCTAGACTTTGAGGCTAAAACCTTTTTTTTTTTTTTTTTTTTTTAATGAACTAGAGAAGAAGCCAGGTTAAAAGCAACAACTGAACGTTTTGCTTACACCTCGTTAAAGTACCAGAAATGGGATCATTCATCTCATTTATAGAAAAACTTAGTCATTCTTTACCGAAGATCTCAAGTGGGGATGCATCTTTAAAATGCCTACTATTATTAACATGGACCAAAATGTAAAATATGTGAAATGATGTTAAGTAAAAACCTTTTCAAAATTGACCCTCCAGCATCTGGACTCCCTTTCATGATACAACCCACCATATCAATTTCTGGAAGTTTATTGTACAAGTTTATCTTGGAAGTGGATTTTGACATATTATTTTGTTTATGTGATCAAAATATGTATACAACATAAGTATATGAGTTTTCTCTGCTTAATAGAAATGGCAGCATGCTAGTCGATACTTGTTTTGCATTTAAAAATTGCACACAATGTATCTTAGGAAATTATTTAATAATGGTACAATGATCTGACTGCTTCACTTTCAAGTCTTCATAGGATTAGTTTATGGTTATGCTATAACTTTTAATTAATGAGTTCTCCATTAATCAGCATGCTGTTTTTCAATGTTATTATTAGGCACAAGGCTGAGATCAACAAGGTTTTGTATACGTTCAGTGTCTCAGGTGTAATATAAGATAAACCCTCATTTGCGGACTTTTAGGTGAAAAAAAAATCTGTGCATCTGTACTTTGGTTAGGTTTTTGAATTTCCCTCTACGGAGGTCACTGTAAGTTCCATTCACATCTGCACTGTGACTGACTGTCTTTACACATACTAACACCCAGTGGCTATCAAATGTTCTAATCTTTGACAGTTGGCCAAGTGAAACAGCAATTTTTAATACAGTCTTTAACTTTCATTTTTCTCCCAGAGGGGGAAAAACATGCTAACTTTGCTTTAGAACATAGGACCAGAGGGTTATGCAGAGTTGTTTTCTGATCCTTAATGTCATTCTTGGACTCTGGGTCAGCATTAGAGTTCAGAGATCAGCAACATGGCTGCATGCCCAGAACCAAGACGGACAGAGAAGCCAGTAAGCCTTACTTCATGACTATTGGCTGGACAGAGCCTGATGGTATCCCTGGATCACTTCTGACTTATGTGAGTACAATTAGAAGGTAAGATTTGAGGGTGGTGGTTGCTCAAGCCTTTAATCCCAGCACTCAGGAGGCAGAAGCAGGCGGATCTTCATGAGTTTGAGGCCAGCCTAGTCTACAGAGTGCATTTCAGGTCAGGCTATACAGAGAAACCCTGTCTTGAAAAAAAAAAAAAAATCTGTACTCTAACCTCCATATGAATATGACATCCATATGCCTGCAGGTGCGCCCACACACTCACACTGACACACCACACACATATACAAACAATAAATAAATCTTTGTAAAAATTAAGTACACTGACAGTAGTCGAACTTATCCTGGCATGGTGGTGCACACCTTTAATCCCAGCACTCAGGGAGGTAGAAGCAGGTGGAGCTATGAGAGTTCATGGCCAGCCTGGTCTACAAAAGCGGGTCCAGGACAGCCAAGCTACCCAGAGAAATCCTGTGTTAAAAACTCGAAAACCAAAACAAACGAACCAAACAAAAAAGCTAAGATTCTGATCTCTACACCCACAATAATATCTCTGCTTACTTCACAGTTTTTTTTAATTTTTTTTCTCAATTTGCCTTATAGAAATAAAAAGTAAAACTGGTTCTGTATTTATAGACAGAACTAAACCACACAATAGAATGGAGTGGAGGCTGGGAATGTGGGAGTGTGTAGATTATGTTGGGCCAAATCATCTGGGTCGCACGTGGCTTATAAAGGTTTAAATAATATGTTTAACACAAGGAGCATTATCCTTCGGGAGGAGCATGCTGCTAATTAGCATGATTATCTCATGACTTGCCAGAAAAACATTCGTGATTTTTTTTTTGTTTGTTTGTTTGTTTTTGGTTTTGTTTTGTCGGGTGCCTTTTGCACAAGAGAGAATTATCCAATGGTGTTAAATGCTGTATCACTTTAAAAATCAGTCACATGATTTTTCTTAATGTCTGACAGAGATCATGTTACAGCAGAGATTTCAAAGATAAGACATGCTCTATCTATTGGAATATGGATGAAAACTCTGCTGGGGTTGGGCCTGCCTTGCCCTCCCTCACAGCCTGACCATGTCATTTGGCTTTTCTGAGCTTCAGTTTCCTCACTTGAATGATAGAGATAATGATCTAACCTATTTACACCAGGGTCTGCTGGTGAGCAAAGAATGGATCATTGTCCACGTGAAGACACTTAAAGCTATAAACAGCAATGCTGCTAGTTCACCCAACATTCAGCGTATAGGCAACCTTTGAAATGCTTCTTTTGCCCTCCCCCAGCCGCCGAGAAACTTATTAAAATGCTTTCAGCAACCCTAGGCCAGATAGTTTTTATATAGCTATACAAACATGCTTATGCTCTGGTTAGGGCTCTGGCTGCCTGACACTTAATGGATCAGGTAGATTATCAATCTTTAGGGAAACGTTGTATTGAAATATTTCCGCAATCAGTCCAAGAACAAGGACTTTGGCTTTAAAGTCGCCTGTCCTAGCTTCTCTTCTTCGGAGTCGCACTACAACCTCCCCGCCCCCACCCTCCTTTATCTTGCACATCTAACAACTGGAGTGCTCGTTTCTTTAATCTTTAATAGGTGCTCGCTAATAATCTGCTCGGAAGTCTGGAGACAATGTAGAGCGCAGGTGGGACTCCGGGAGAGCAATCAGTGCTGTTTCCTCTTAAGCCCCTTGCGCTGGTCAATGCGCAGCTCTCCCACCTCCCAACTCCAAAGCCTTCTGGCCCTTGCCAGGGGTCCTAGGAGGAGCCGAGCCTTTCTCTGGTTAGCCTGTCCGGCCCTGGGGCCCCAGAGCTGGGCTCCGCGGAGCCTGGCTCGCCCACGGGGACGTGAGTGGTCTGGGGACGCGCGGGACAGCCAGGTGCGCAGTCAGCAGCGGTCGCACGCCGACGCTTGTGGCAACAGGTGCAGCGCGGACCAGGTCCTACTTCTGGGGCGGGTGGCATGTTGCTGTGTAGCTGGGGAGCCGGATCTGGCAGGGGGTCGTAGTGGAACTCCGTGGGACTCATCGTGTCTCTAGGAACCCTAGGAAGCCTCTCCGGTGAGTTTCTCGGGGCGCCGCCCCTTCGGCCCCCACCTGGCCTTTGTCCGGGCTCCAGGAGCCGCCGCGGGCGGCGGGCGAGGCCACCCAGCTCCGGACTCTCCGCCTTTGCTCCTCCCCCTGGCGGCCCGGGGCGGGGAGGCTGGGGCGCCCGGGCTCCTGGTTGCCGGTTCCCGCCTGGCAGCCTGCGCCGCCGGGGTGCCGGTGCGGATCAGGGTCGAGCTGCGAGCCCCAGGTACACACGCCCCCCAGGCTGGGGCCGCCGAGGGTGCAGGTTCTTCTGCACCGGCTCTAAGCGGGGGCTCCCGGGAAGGCTCCGGGCTGGCTCCCGGGCTCTGCGGGCAAGTGCGGAGTGGATCCCATTCCGTCGCCCATCCCGGAGAGGACCTCGGGAGGACGTAGAGGTAGGACCTTGGCGACTTACTGCAACGCACTCACTCACGGTGACCGGGACTGGCTTTCCGGGGAGGGGGACGGCTGTCCTGGGGGGTTCGAAGTTGGCCGAGGTGGGGAGGCTGGGCTCACGTGGGCCCCGCGCAGCTCCTGCAGGACAGGCGGGCTGCGGTTGCTGTCACCTTGAAAGCGACCGAGGAGGTGGGTTCGTAGTAGATCCGGCGCGCTGTCAAGTTTACACTCTCAGCTGAAAGCCGCCCACCAGGCAGTGGACTCTGGCTCAGGACCTGGCAGCCTCAGGCTTCCGGCTGGGCGACTTGCCGGGGCCCATTCCCAGCTTAGGCAGTCAGTCGGGGCAGAAAATATGGGAGAAAGGCAATTGCTGCAGTTTCCCAGGTCCTCATGCGGGATTCACTCCCAGCAGCCCGCGGGTACTTACACACTCTATGGAAAAAACCCACGTTTATTGATCACTTTATTGATTATTCAATAGTGGCATTAGCTAGAATTTACGTGATGTCTTTGCCCTCCTCTCCTCGGGTCATTTGTACACTTTTGACTCGTAACGCTGACGAATTTATTTATTTCTTTTTAAACTTAGCTTTCATAGTGGCACCCACTCTGCAAAATGCTACTTTTAAATTGTCAGTGTTCTACGAAAGGAAACCCAGCGTGCTTTGTTTGTCTAAAACCAGAGTCCTAGGCAAAAACAGGAGGAAAGAGGGCTTTCATGTCCTGCCAGGTGATTGGAGTTCAATCATGGTATCAAATCACAGCGCTGTGGGGGAGGTGGTGGGAGTGGATTCCGGGGATCCGGGGATCCCGGGATCCGGAGACGAGCTGGAGGGAGGAGGGCAAAAAAGAGGCGGGGTCGTGCTCCCTTGAACCTGTGACCTCCAGGAGGAATGTTTTACGAATAGGTTATCGATTTAAATAGTTCATCATCTCCCATTCTCTCTAGCAGTTCCTTGAGTGCAGTTTATATACTTGGGTTGTGATTTCTCAAGAGCTCTGTTCCTTAAGAAAAGTTATGCTGTCGGGCACATGCCTGTAGGCCCAGCACTCTGGAAGACAGAGAGGCAGGTGGATCTCTGATTTTGAGGGCATCTTGGTCTTCAAAGAGTCCCGGACCGCCAAGGCTACACAAAGAAACCCTGTCTTGGAAAAACAAAACAGTGCAAAAAGTTATGCAAGGAAAACAAAACAAAAACAAAACTCTACCTACACTTTTTTTTTTTTTAAATAGGCATAGAATTTAGTTTAAAATAATTTAAAAATGTAAGTTCTTTCCCCACTTGTGTGCCTCTGGTTCCCTGCATGAACCCACTCCTTGTGCTATGGATGGATGCTAAGATGCTATGGATGGACCTAAGAGTTTTGTATATACCAAGCACCTGGATTTATCGCTGATGCCTGCCCCCACCCTCACCTGTTCATTTTAAAACTAGACTGATGTGGGAAAAAAAATCGTGTTTGGGAGAAGTCTGTAGCTTTTAACTAACCATTAGGAATTCAGGATTTTTTTTTTTTTTTTTGTAGTGACAGGATTATGAAATTCTGGATAAATGTCATGTAGAATTTTTTTCGGAAACTAAACTTGAGTTACTAGAATTAAGCTTCTAAGAAACATCACTTCACTTAGTAACTCTGTTTGCTCTGACTTCAAAAGGAATGAATGGCTTGTGTATACAGTTTGGTACATGCAGAAAAGTAAGAGTCAGTCTTGCCATCTATTACTTTTTCTTTGCAAAATATTATGAAAATCCCCTCATTGTATTAAGCCTCCAAAACTAAGGTTCAGTGTTACACAATATATTCTATAGATGTGTCAATTTACTTAACCTTGTCTCATAAGCTGAACTGCTCATTTGCAGTTACTGTTATTAGATATGGCAATGCAACATTTATCTCTTTCCAAATGTTTCCGTCGGATAAAGTCCTTGAAAATCACCGTTGGCGATTCAAAAGTTTCTTTTAAAAATATTGGCCTTTTGGTTTCCAAAACTTTAATCAGGCTAAGCTGGCCTAAACTGGGCTCTTGTGTTATCTTCTTAACACAGGTAATTACCCTTAAGAGGAAGTACTATTGCCAGCTTTACAGGTGAACAGTGCTAACTCGGTATTTAAACTTCCATTTCTATGATTGCAAATGTTATCAAGCACCCCACCTAAGTTTCCGGTTTCTTTTCTTCCTTCTCGTTTTTGAGACAAGGTTTCTCGGTGTAGCCCTGGCTGTCTTGGAACTAGGTCTTGCAGACTGGGCAGACCTTGAACTCAGAGATCCGCTTGTTTCTGCCTCCCCAGTGCTGGGATTAGAGGTGTGCACCACTATGCCAGGCTAATGTTGCCCCTTTTTATGTTTAGTGCAGCATTACGCTTTCCTCTCAGGATTTTGACATTTTTCTATTCATAAAAGCTCTTTCAGGTTGTTGGCACATCTCAGTTCATATTGCAAATACTTTCCTCCTGTTGGCCCTATGAACATAGTTATAGACGTGTTGACTTACAGAAGGTATTGTTCAGTGTTGTCAAACGTGATGATATTTCTCAAAATGGAGTGTTAGTCGTTCTGAGTCACAGTTTAAGAACCACATATGGCTGTTATTTCTCCCAGAACTCTGGGTTGGTCACATTTATCGCCACAACTTCCATGTTCACCAGTAGCTGCTGTTGTGCTTTTTTTTTTTTTTTTCTTTTGGCATGTGTTAATTAGAAATTGTCAAGTGTGGTGTATGTCAGCAGGACATTCTTAGGCTGTTGAAATGGCACAGTCTACTTCTTTAAGAGTACCTGGGTTTAGCTGGGCATGGTGCACGCCTTTAATCCCAGCACCCAGGAGGCAGAGGCAGGTGGATCTCTTGAGTTCAAGGCCAGCCTGGTCTACAAATGGAGTCTAGGACAACAAAAGCTACCCAGAAACCCTGTCTCAATGGGGGAAAAAAATGCTTGTGTTTAATTTCCACATCAGGAAGCTCACAACTGCCTGTAACTGCAGATCCAGGGGAACTAGGGTCCTCGATGGGCCCTTTGTAAGCACCTGTACTCAACCAGAACAGAGCATTTAGAGAATGTCTACATAAATCTTGGGTGAGAATTTTTCTAGTTCTTTGAGACCTGAGGAATCTTGAAACTGTGGATCATCTACTTAATTTTTAAGACATTTTTTAATATTTCCCTCCAGAAATCCTGCAATTACTCTAAAACTTGAGTTGAACACATATGTATATTGAAACACTTAGAATCAGTAAACAACAGGTTTTGCCGTGCCCTACCCTACAGCTAAGAAAGTGATAGTCTAAATCTAGGTATTTTGTAGGGCATTTAAACCTCCATCTAATGACCTCAATCTGTGCATTTTGTCAGTGGTTACATTCAACGCAGATCTATGCTTCCTAGTATTCTGGGAAAAAAACCTTTTTAACTTATTGGCTATCTCATGACTGTATAGTCTACCAGTATGGTTTGTATAGTGTGAGAGCTTTTGAATTTATTGATGGTATTGTAATGTAAAATCTGTTGTAGCAACACAGCTAACAATTCAGAATTCGGAGATGTCTTTGCAGAAACATTTTAGCTGGCATTGAATTGTTTTGAACTTATTTTATGTGTATGACTGTTTAGCCTAAATGTATGTATGTATACCACATGCTTGACATCCGCAAAAGTCAGAGCATGGTGTCACATCCCTGGGACTGGGGGTTTTAGATGGTTTCGAGCCAGCACGTGGGTACCAGGAGCTAAGCCAAGAACAAGTGCTCTTAACCATTGAGTCCTCTCTCTAGCTCCTTAGCTGTCGTTTTTATTGTATCTGAAGAGGTGACATTGCAGTAGGAAGAAACTTGAATGATCCAAAATCAAGTACTTGTAATAGTAGTTGGCTTGGAAAGAGATAGCATCCTCATCACTATTCCATCATGGATCATGTGTGTTTGGTTAGATCATGCCTAGAGCTAGGTCTAATGTATGCCTGCAATAGTAGCACTGGGGAGAAGAGGTGGATGGGGTTAAGATCTGGGTTGTTCAAAACTGGTGTGGGCTACAATGTAAGAAAGTATGGCCAGCTTGGGTTACATGAGTCTTTGTCTCTAAATTGGCGAAGTCTACAGAATCTACAGATTTCACATATGATGGACAATCCATATGGACAGGATTTTTCTGTGTAGCCGTGGCTGTTCTAAAACTTGTTCTGTAGACCAGGCTGGCCTCGAACTCACAGAGATCTGCCTGCCTCTGTCTTCCCAAGTGCTGGGATCACAGGCGTGTGCCACAATGCCTGGCCCAAATTAATTTCTAACACTATTAATAGATTAAATGTTTTTTTTTGTTTGTTTGTTTGTTTGTTTTTTGAAGGGGATGAAGACCTTACTGAATCAAGAAAGTTTATCATCAACCCCTTTCTTTCATACTGCTCTAGGGATAAGCCACCAAACTGGGAGTTAAAAATTACTGTGCGGGGGGTTTAAGTTTGGGCATCCAAAGATGCCTCCAATAGGAGGAGATGACACTCAACCGACAGGCAGATATACAGCCAGAGAGTGAGCAAACACTAGTGGCAGCATTTGTTGAGGTCTTCGAAGGAAGTGAGATGCCACTTGGAATGGCTCAGC